TTATTGAGTTAAGAATGAACGCCCCGTCAACCTGACAGGGCGTTCATTCTTAAATTCATTGACGGGGCGTTCAAAGCGATGAAACAAAAACTGCAAAAAAAATTTAAGCATTGCCATTTTTTGGGCGTGTTGGTAAATGGAACTCGAAAACACATTGAGAGTCAACATATTGAGGGCATTGCTTTGTCGTCTGCCTTATGTTGTTTGTTAGCGCTATATGTTTTCGAGCGTTTATTTCCTGTGAACAAATATATACGCCTTGGAAGGGGAAGAATATCGCGAATCCGCGCCCGGGTCTACAGTTCGAGTTTGCATAAGCACGCAAAACACGTTACCAAGGTCTAGGGTTAGTAGCTTGATGACAAATCTCGTGCAATAGCTCACCCTGCTGGTTCCCTCCCGTAGGGGCAGTTCTATCGCTACCCATAGTATTTGCATGATCAGCATGTTCAAACGAATGGTGATGCATTAATATCATTTAGGCTTGAATGTGTCACTGCATGTTTGGAGTGGTCGTGAATATGGAGAAAACTAAGATATGCTTAAACTGGAGCAAGACCCCCAAGATCTGCTTTTATCAGTTGGAACAGGGCACTGTTTGGGCAGCTTGTGCCTTTGCATCGATTACGCAACACTGGACCGCAGTACTCACGCTTGTCAAGCGCACCTCCAAAGCATGAATGGGGTGAGAACTTTTGTTCGCCTGTGCGCAGGTATGGAATCTCTTTGTCGCAATCCTCTGTCTGGTGCTAAACTGCTCATGGGATAAAATTCAGGCTGTACCGAGAGTATTCACCACTTTCGTGTGGGTGTATCATAAGGCCAACGCGCACAGATAACTTGTTTCTCCCTTCAATGTCTGCCGCACTTGTTTATACACTAACTTCCCCTCGGTTTCTCTTTTACAAATACGCTGATCGTTCATATACACTTTTACATCATGCCTACCCTTGGCTCTGGCTTGGCTCTGGCTAACTGAAAGCGCATCTAGAGAATGCGTAGTGATCTTCGACTTTAATAATAATTACTCACGTTTAACGCCCCAAAACCACCATATGACTATGGGTGACTGCGTAGTGGAGGACTCCGGAAATTTCGACCACCTGGGGTTCTTTAACGTCCACCCAAATCTGAGCACACTGGCCTACAACATCACACTCATAGTAACTCACTCATGTTCCTACTCGTTGCTACTCACACTCACAGCAACTCGCTCACCTTCGCAGTCAACTCACAGTCGAGAGTATTCACCCACATTCGTACTTACTCCTACTCACATTCATGAGCTGTCACTCCTAATCACACTCGTGAATCACACTCATGAAGAGTACTCACTCATGAAGAGTACTCACTCATGAAGAGTACTCACTCATGAAGAGTACTCACTCACGTTCACACTCACTCCTACTCGCACGGAAGAATACTCTCGTTCATACTCACGAGTACTCACACTCGCACTGATGAGTACTCCCGTTCAAATTCACATCCACTCACACTCATGAGTACTCACGTTCATACTCACTCATACTCACAATACTCACGTTCATATTCAATTTACTCACGCTCAGAGTACTCACTCACATTCATATTCACTTATACTCACACTCAAGAGTAGTCACACACGTTCATACTCACTCCTATTCACACTCAGAATACTCATTCATGTTCATACTCACTCCTACTCACACTCATGAGCACCCACTCACGTGCATACTCACTTCTACTCACACTGAAAGTACTCACTCACGTTCTACTCACTCCTACTCATACTCATCAGTACTCACTCACGTTCTACTCACTCCTACTCATACTCATCAGTACTCACTCATACTCATCAGTACTCACTCATACTCATCAGTACTCACTCATACTCACACTCGCCACATTCAAATGAGTATGAATGAGTGTGAGTGAGTGTACTCATGAGTGAGTATGCCGAGCTATGACGGCACCCGATTCCCAACAACAGTAGTCACTGCCTTCTTCGAACTGCCGGGTACGTGAAACGGCGGGCTATAAAAGCCGAAGACGCTTGAACACAAAAGCTGAACATTTCCACAGTATTTTCTCTCCCATGATGTAAATGAAACCTTCGTTCGGTCTTTAAGAACACGTCTCCTCACTGGTGAAGATTGGCTATATGGACTAAGGTGAGGAGCCACCGTAACGAAGCCCGCCGTACCTGCCATCGACCTTCATACTCTTTGCAACCCATAAGAGTCGCATATACACAAAAATGCCCCCCTGACAAGGTTCGTACATCTTGTTCATGTGGCGCAGGATTCATGCATGAACCGAAATACAGCATGACTGAACTAATTTGATATGGACGCAATTGCGTTCTTTGTGAAGACCATGCGTGTCGCTCAGTCGATGATAAAACTCGACTGAATTTGGTGCTGCACACACAAATAGCCATTTAGACGCAGAATAGCGCAAATTGGCACAGCCCTTCCACCCCCGACTACACCGTAGCTCAGGGTTAGAGTTTGCATGCCTGGACAGCTCAATTGATGGCACAAACTACAGGTGCTCAACGCGGCCTGCATTTCTCGCTGAAATAAGTGCAACAGAAAATTTTGAGGCTGATCGGGCATTTTGGCAAAGCGTGGTGCAATTCGACCAAATATTTCGGTTTTGGAGCAGCTCGGCACAAAAATTTGGAATTGTATCAAATTGGCGCAACCAGTACAGCTGTTGCCCTCTTGTCTGTCTGATAACATAATTCAATTGAAAATGCTCAAATTCGTGATTTATTTAATTAAAGGGACTGTCTACCGCAAGGAAAAAGTTTTCCGACTGTGGCACCAATGAAAAGATCGTTCACTAGGGTGGCAACAAGCATGCTTTCATGCCAGAAAGAAATCGTCGCAGTTTAGCATTGATATATGGCACAGACAGGAGCACCAGTGAAAGAAGAGAAGGAAGAGTGACGTTGCTGCTCGCGCTCACTCCGCTTGGCAGCTGGTCGGCTTTACCTCTGCGTTTCCCCCAATAAACGCGTCTTCCGCTCACTGCTAAAGGCGCACTAACAAGACATTCTACATATTAAAAAAAAATGGTGATAATGCTATTAATTCAAGATGGCATTGCTAACTGTTTCAAACAATTCACTTAAGACACTTCACGAAGACTTAAGAGTCTCCGGCTCACTGCTAAAGGCGTATTAACAAGTGGTGAAGGTGCTGGATCCATTTCCCATCCTGGAACTCCACAACCGAACTCTACCTTCGCCGTCAACGATGTCCACCGACGCTGCACAGCAGACTTTCTACACCCCCACCTGTCCGCTGTCCCGGTGTCCCGAGAGAGCGAGATCGTTTGGTGGGCAAAGTCGACGACGTTTGACGGCGCAGTGCCGGCCATTGCGCGACGTCAGCGTAAGTCAGGCAGCTTTGTATCGTGCCAGAGACCAATTTTCGCTTTTTTTTTTCTCAGGCGTTCAACTGGGTGCCCGTTGGCGCTATTTGAACGACAAACGCAACCACAGCGTCCGCCACCGCTCATGAGAAGAACAAAAAATTGTGTGCATGCCTAAATTGACCACTGAGGTAATTGTTTTATCAATAACCAAACTTTATGAAGCCTGCAAAAACCGCACGTGGTTTCAGTTTTAGATTTTCACCGGCACCCACCAGTGTTGTCGGCACTCCCTCCCCCCCAGCCATGGAAGGGGGCATAACGCGGACAGAAAAATTCTGTTTTAAAAAATTCTACGCAATCTTTAGAGAAATTGCTGCAAGGTTGGACACTTCACATGGTATGCTTTTTATTGCGACACAAAACAGGAGAGCAATAAAGGACAGTTGACAGTCCCCTTAATGCAAACATAAACTGACCATTCTGGCCACAGTGGAGTGTCATTAGGTCACATGCTCTCAAGCTGTAGCAGCACTGAGGGTGGGTTATTTGAATAGGGGGCCCATTTGCTGTAAAGATTACAACAGCATTGGTGCTACCATATCAGAGTGTTATGCACCAGGTACATTGTCCTGACAAAAAATCTGTCTCTAATGAAACAACACAACTGATTGCTAAGCACCCACTAGAAGTTCAGGAGTCTGCCACCTAATGAAAAAACACTAACACAAAAAAGCCCTCTTACTGTGGTACCTATAAAATCAGTGGTCTTAGCAGCCAGAACCACGTAGCATGACTGGTACCCATGTTGGGTGCCAGTCATGCTATTGTGTGCAACCTGTAAACTGAGCTTTACTAGCTCAACATCAGAGGAAACCCCTATTCGTGTCATACCAGTGGCGAAGATGCAAGGTGTTTCAACTCAGACGAACCATCCCACTTACATTAAAACCAAATTAAATTCCTCAAAACTTTTGCCACTAATGTTATCTCAAAAGTGCCTACTTATGCAAGACTGTCAAACAACACCTGCAATTCAGGTGTCTGTGATAGTTTCCCAAAAGGTTTTGGACCGTTTTAGAATCGCAACAAATCGTAGAACAGGATGCTTCTGCCTACTATGGGTCGTAACTTACAGTACACTCCAACCTTGATATAACGAAATATTGGTTATAACGAAATAAATAGAAATAGTCTCGCAATTGATTTAGTTTTAAAAATAAACCATTATAGCAAATTTTCAGAAATAAACTTACTTTCATGCAAGATGCAAGTTTGTTATATTGAGGTTTTAGTGTACTACTGAAATAAATTTGCACAACATAAGCGGTAACACTTTACATTTCCCACTTGCATGATCCAGCGTAAAAGAAGTGGAAAGTTCCAATTTATCTTTACCACGAATCTGCCAAAAGCATTATATTTACAAAAAAAGTAATGACTTTTATGTTACAACTCGTACAAAATACCATTTCCATATCCAGTACGTCTTTCCACACCGTGTTAAGCTGCCAAACACTATGATCAAACACCATGGCCCAATAAATGCTAAACTTGCGTAATAAGAATACTACACTCCATGTTCAGAACAGTGCAGTGCACTGTTGCAAACGAATTGCTTGAACAAAACAAAGACTGACCCATCGTGACTGGTCATCCAGCAAGCTAAGAAAGAGTGGTGCCAGGCTACTGCGACGTGTGGTCAGAGAGCAAACGCACGAGACTGGCATGAAAACCTCTGCACAAGCCTTGCGGACCCCCCAGACGCAGTCTTCACACAGCATCTGAAAGACATCCTACCCACAAGTGCGGGTAAAAAACCGTCACACAAGCTTAGAATAAGCACTACGAGCTCTATAGAGTAAAAGCTCAGTCATAAAGATTTCCTGTCACACAAGAAAATTCGTTATCACAAAACGTGAAATACCGTATTTACTCAGACATTGCTTTGTCTTCCCTCGACAAATCCCGTAGACGACCCATCTATCAGCCTTTGCAGCGTGCGACAAAACCGACTCCGCTCATACTGAACGATTTTTAGAATTTTTGCAGCGTTGAATTAGTGAGGCTTTTTAAGTGAAGTAATTCCATGGTTACTCAGAAAAGTGTTTCAGGGCCCCTTTAAGGGGGGACGCGGCAATGTGAATGAATTTGGTCAAATTTTCAATTTTGTTTTATGTTTTTTCCTCAATCCTCACACCTTTTTTTTACCTCGTAATGAAATATCATGATGTACGCTGTAGTAATTGAGAAAACAGCACTTTATCAGCATGTAGCCATCGAAAACCGCGAGAAAATCAAACCTTGAACGGTCCCCGCCGTGCCGTGAATTACGCAGCTCCCGCTCGGCGGAGCGCCGCCATCTTAGTGCCATCGTAGAGAGGAACGATGAGAGCTGAAGATAGCCGCAGGGCCGTATTTCTCCAACGAAAAATTAAACCAGGAGAAGCAAGCGAAAAAAAAAGGCAAAAGTGGCATCGCGATTGATGGCAATAGTCATGTGGCGGCACATGGTGCCACTCCATTGGTTGTTCATGATTTGAATGGCTTTCGTGCGCATTTGCGCAGCAGCGAGCCAAGCGCTTTGTTCATTCTTGTGTTGATTGCTGCAGCACAACGCGCGTGTTTTGCGATGCGCCCCAGACGAACAAGTACGGAACAGTCGACGCATACGGAAAATGGTGAATGCCATGAAATTTCGGGAGAAAATGGGACCCAGGAGCGAACTTCGCTGACCTCGCCAAGCACGAAGAGCCGGTGCCCGCGGGAGATGGGGAAAGCTCCCCCATGTGTGACTGCTACAGTGCGTATGGTTGCGCTGGTCACGGCCTTCACGTGCGGTGTTGACACCCCCACGTGCAACAGTGACCGTGCTGCGATCAACAGCATGTCATTTATAACCACAGATGTTCGTGCTTCGAGTATCTAACAGAGGATTTCAGCTCCAACTCTCACTGATGAAGAGAGTGCGCAGCGGAAAGAGATGCGAGCGGACACTGAACACGTTATCGGTAACCCCGGCAACAAAGGAAATTTCAGCCACTGAAAGATGGCGGAAGTGACAATGATGTTCCCGGGGAGTTCTTTTAAGAGTATACTGGGCTCGCGCAACACGCTGAATTTGTTCGCAGCAGACGACGCGCTGGAGGCATCACCAGTTGTTCTATGGTAGCGGGAGCGTAATTTAGCAGAACTTGTATACCGATTGTGGCTGGTTATTTTGTTTGCAGATAGATGAGGCCGACAGCAAATGTATTTTCTTTCGCTGTCAGTTGATGGCACTGTAGGCGGCCTCCGCCAAGCAGTGGCCGTGCGCTCCCGTGTTCAGTTTCATAAATGACAAAATAGTACAAGAAGTATGTGGGATATGCAACTGGAAAATACATTATAGAGCTAACTCAATTATTCAGATCAGCTTTAAATAGAAACTTTCCACTCACAAGATTGTCTTCTGTACATTCCTGCCCCACAATGCTGCAGAAATCTCCAAAGTTGGCAGCACACACCTGAAAGGAAATAAATGCATTCAGTGATAGTCGAAGTGCAGCAGAACATACAACACACTTCAATAAATCTTAAGCTGAATGCCTGTTTTAATGTAAAAATGTGTAGCCAACGCTTTAAAACCTGGTTAATTCGAAGTCACCAAGACTGAAAAATCTTCCAATTAAGCGGGTTTTCGAATGAACAAAATATACAAAAGGTGCAATGCAAGGAACTTTGAATTATCGAAATAATCATGAGGCGGTCGTTTGCTGTGCTGCCAAGTTCGCAGCTCCAAGGGTTGTTTTCTCGCAATACCAGGGTCCAATACCAGGGTCCAGGGTCCAAAAGGTCTTATGATCAACTAAAATGTACGCCTGCGGAAAAACATCCTTCATTGCAACACAGTGTTGACACGTGGACATGATGTCACCTACCTGCTTCTCGCAGTGTCAGCGCATGATGCGACCATTTGCTCATTCTTTTTGGTAAAATGAATTTATTAATGGCCAGTGTGATGGAATTTGTTATGTGTTTTGGTTTTAAAATATAATCATTGAAGTTTTTTAACAGAGTTTTCGACATAGGCATTCCAGAAAGGAAAGTGTGCAAATTGCTGGAACAACCACCAAACAGAAGTCCGCATACATCGTGAATGGCATCAGACTGACCTTTATTAATTTCATTATATTTCAAAAAAAAATGGGTAAATCATGCGCTGACATTAGGAAAAGCATGCAACGTGGTCCCCGTGTGTCACCACTGCATTGCAGTGAAACACCTTTTCCAAAAATGATCTTTAAAAATTACCCCCCCCCCCCCGCCCCGCCCCGCTCTGTGAAAGAAGTCGCTAGGGTGCTTCATCTCTCTCATTAGCATTGCTACACTGCATTGCCTTGTGGCTCCTAAGGACCACAGTTTCCATGGACTCGTGGTGAAATCTGGATCAGGAATCTGCACATGGCAACCGAAATTTTCTAAATAACTGCACTGGTGCTGACCACCGCTTTAAATTATCCAAACTTATACTGCAAATTATGGCAACGCAGAAATCCAAAGAATTAAATGAATCAAGGTAGGTGGGAGGGGTCCCTCAAGCAGCAATTGTGAACTTTGATTCTAAGGACGTGGTTGTTTCATTTATGAAGATGCAATGCACCCTTTTCTTAAATTAACGTATTTCAATTGCAGTGACGCTTATTCAGCATCTTCACGTTTTCTCAGCCAACTATTTTTTTGGAGACTTCACAATAGACTATCATAGTTTTTAAATGCTGAAAGTGTATGAAAAAAAAAACAATTTGAATCTTTTTCATGTTATCTGGTACACAATATTATTGAAGACGTTGCAAAAGTATACATCACTAGAAGTGGCATTCAAATTTCTTGATAGTTCGTACTAGGCAGGACAATATATATATATATATATATATATATATATATATATATATATATATATATATATATATATATATATATATATGCCACTCCACTCGTGTGGAGTGGCTTATATATCAAGCAATAACGCTGGCAATCAGCCTCGACTCCGGAAACAAGATCATGAAATTGCAGGGTTAAACTCGAGCTATATTTATTGATGTGTGACATTCACTTCCCCAGTTTTTTTGTATATGGCCGGGTCAAGTGATGACGTTTTCATGTTTACACATCGCAAAACCACGGCTGTTGTGGGGCAGTTGAGTACACATGCCTTCATTGGACCGAGCACGGGTGCTAATTTGTCGACAATAGATTGTCCGGGTTCATAGCACCCGAGTGAAACAAAATTCAAGGGTTTTCAAGGACTTTTAAGGACCTAACAAATACTTTTTAGGGACCTAAACTAACATTTGAAACTGTAGAAAATGACATTATCACTTTATAGAGCATAAAATTTGTACTTTATTTTATTTCTATTGTTCGCACCATGAACGTGCTCAAGTTACCATTGCCTTTGTGTGCAATGTGTTTTGTACTCTTCCATGCGACTTGCCCAGAGCAGACTTCCCCCATTGATGACGCGACGAAGCTCTTCCCACATAGGAAGACTTTGCCTGATGAGGGTTTAACGTGTATGGTGCGATGCACTCCCTATAAGCAGCAATGCATGACCAAGACAGCTGGAATTTGCACTTGCCCGGCATAGTTCCTCTATGAGCGATGGGACTGCGGATATCCACGCACACTTCCAGTCTCCACAAAAAAGCCAGGCTTGGCTCCATTGCTGCTGTAATCACGCAAGCGCTACCACAACTACAGTGCACTAAAAGAGTATGCTGTACTACAACAGTGCACTTTGGCTAGAGAAACGGATTGGATTGTATGGTTTGTTGGCTTGATAGCACATCATTGCCAGGCAAGCAAAAAAAATCCACAAAATGATGGCTTCGATTGACAAAATTCAAAGACTTTTAAGGCCCTCAAACAAATTTAAGGGTTTTTAAGGCCATGAAAATTGCATTTCGAAATTCAAGGGTTTTCAAGTGTTTCAAGGACCGCTAGGAACCCTGATAGTAGAACAAAGAAGCAGTAATGGATGACAGAACTGCATAATGGAAACTGCCAGAAGACAAGCGCGTTGAAGTGCCATCAGGATTCGCCAGTGCCAGCAGAGAGGCTAACATGAAAAGACCGAACGGATGGTTTTATAGTCGATAGACAAAGAAGACCAAAATTGGGCGCACAAGCTGGAGTCAGAACAAAAAATATTGACAAATAACCTGAGTGAACAGAGTCAAGTATAACCGAGCGTTCATGCCATTTGTTTTCCCACTGCAGCTCTTACCAAAACGACCCTCCTCACTTTCTTTCGGAGAGAGGCTCTCAACGTGTGTGTCAAGTGCCATCTATTTGTTTCAAATATAACCTCTTGTCGTCCACCAGCTGCTGTTCGGCATTTTTTTGCCTCCGCATGTTTTGCCGAGATGAGTTGAGTCTGTGTGCGGTTCCGCAAATGACCACAGATAGCCAAACTTCCTCAATAGAAGGAATGCGCGAGCATTTTTACGAAAACAAACATCAGTACCACATGGCGTTGGACAGTGTTCCGAAATAACCGAAACTAATGACGAAGGCACCAAAGGCAGGCATTAGAAAAACTAGACAAGTCGGCACTTAGAAAAAAAAAAACTAAAGATTAGAGATAACAGGAAGGTGGTGGCACGACTCCTGGATGCAACATTGTTCGCAGTCAGCGACTGGCGGTGTGAACGTAAACATATGCTTGTCGGGCGAGGACCGGAGCACATTTTGTGTGTGTGCACGTGTATGTGTAGCCAACTAATATGCACTCACTCGGATATTCTCCCAGAAAAATATCCCTAATTGAGAATAAATAGAACATTTCCATGCAATTTGTTCCGATTATGTGTTTACTGTTGAATGTAAGGTTGAATTAGTTGCATTATCATAAGAGCATCGTGAAGGAAAGAGACGAAAACATACAAAAGCGCAGGAACGCAAGTAGTTGTGTTCGCATTTTTCAGCCTTCCATAGCTGTTTTCGTCTCGCAGTTTTCATATTATTCACTTCATAACAGCTCGCTCAATTGTGAGCACTGCGCTCAATTGTCAGCATTGAAGTTATGGTCACTGAAATTTTAAAGAGGCTCGAGTCCACTTTTATGAGATTGTACATATGTTAAGTATTACTTTGTGGCTGTTGCATCCGATACTGTTTTGTTTGAATACTATAGACGTGTTTGGATGAAGTAAAAAGTCTTATTTTGTGCTAAATGAACAGTGGCAACTGCAATTACTGAGGTTAGTTATTCCAAATGAAATGATTAAGTCTGAAGCAATGTTTCCTGAAGTGACACTCAGAGTTGCTATAATTTCGATGCATTAGGAAAGGTGTAGCTCTTTCGGTTTGTAAATGTGCTCACAATTACTTCAGCAAAAACTGATCGGTGTGCAAGCTTGCATCTCGCGCAAGACAATACCGAAAACTTGCAAGGGCTGCAAATATGTAAAAGCAAGATCAGTAACCCAATGTGCACACGCTAGACAGATAAGAGATTTCGCGGGTCGCACAATGATGCATGAGCTCAATCGTAACCAAAGTAAACGCGCCGCACGTTCGATTCCGTGGGCGCTTGTGAAACCAGTCACCTCCTGGTGGCGTTGCAGCGGCGGTCCAGGTAACTAGACCTGTCACGCCGGTTTCGAAGCACGCAGCAGGCCGTACCCGTGCGCCACTGAATAAAAAAATCCAGCGGCCATAGTACTGTTATGTTAAAGCAGATCTAAATGAATTTGCTGCCAGCCTCACTTTGTATAACATTACAATTTGTTACTATCGCATTCATTTCTCCGCCCTTGCAATGCACACAACCGACTCAGTTATGTTCAGCCGCCCCTTTTTTTTAACCTGAACGCACGAGCATCAACAGTAGAATTGATAAGTACGATATATCAGAGCACAGTCCTGGAAGGAATGAGATTGCACTCGATAAGCAGTCCTGTGCACCTTGCACCTGTGTTTGCCAGGCTGTTTTTTTTCTCAAATGCTGCCTCCCCCCCCCCCCCCCCCATCATGTAATTGTAAAGCCCACCAATTGGAGGCGCAGCCGCTGCAATTGCCGTGAGGTTCAGGCTTGGACCAAGTGATCTCTCCTCGGTCCGGCGAAGGAAAGCTGGCGGTTGAATGCCTTGTTTGTAACTGCGACTTTGCGGTGTTTTCACTTTTGAACAGCATTGTTTTGCTCTCATTCCACATGTACAAAATTCCACACTTCAAAATCCAGAAATTTGCAGTAAAAGTTATCGTCAGCGTGCCACAGTGCACAACATCAGCGATGCCACTGTTACAGCCGCTGGCAGTCTCTTTGTTGTAGTGGTTGTTATTTCAAGCCTATGAGGTTAAAATGAGCACCGACCATGAATGTTTACATAACAGTAGAATGTTTCAGTTTTCACACAAGAGCTTTGTTCGCAATGAAAAACGACTGTACAAACCGTACAAATTATGTATATCTTAAAATACGCCGTACATGCTACAAGAGGGGGAAGTTACAGTCATTCATTTAACAAACTACACCGTTGTTTAAATTGTCAAGATAAAGCCCGGAGGTTGAGTTCTTTTCTCTCAATTTTCTCTCTTTTCTCTAAATCAATTTTACTCTATTTCGGTCTATTTGGTAGCCAGTTGCTTCTGTGTCTTCAGTCGGCGCGCTTGACAAAATTTCTAAGCGCTTAGCACTGACTGTAACACGTAACACGCTTAACACTTCATTCAACAGCATTGTATATACTTTACACATGTGTTGCCACTCCTCCCCATGTTCCAGTGGGCAATGTAAAGGGGATTCATCATCATCATCAGCCTGACTACGTCCACTGCAGGACAAAGGCCTCTCCCATGTTCTGCCAGTTAACCCGGTCCTGTGCTTGCTGCTGCCAATTTATACCCGCAAACTTCTTAATCTCATCTGCCCACCTAACCTTCTGTCTCCCCCTAACCCACTTGCCTTCTCTGGGAATCCAGTTAGTTACCCTTAACGACCAGCGGTTATCCTGTCTACGAGCTACACGCCCGGCCCATGTCCATTTCTTTATTTCAGCTATGATATCCTTAACCCCAGTTTGTTCCCTAATCCACTCTGCTCTCTTCCTGTCTTTTAAGGTTACACCTACCATTTTTCTTTCCATTGCTCACTGCGTCCTCAATTTAAGCTGAACCCTCTTTGTAAGTCTCCAGGTTTCTGCTCCGTAGCTAAGTACGGAGCAAGATACAGCTGTTATATACCTTTCTCTTGAGGGAAAGAGGATTCACAGTCACCCAAATGATCCCCCGGTGTTTCGCCAACTCATTCTCATTCACTTCGTGGACATGCGGGGAATTAATTTTGCAGCATGTACAAGAGTTCACGAGTCATTCGTGCAGATGCCTGCCATGATGGCACATTTAGTGATCTCAACCACATCCTTAGAATTGAAGTTTACAGCTGCTGCTAGAGTAATCACAGCCGTTAGAAAACCAAAACTACAGTCAAACCCCTTTATAACAGACACTGATATAAGATACAAATGGGCATAAGAGACACTAGTGTGCCTACAGTAAAATACTGGTTGAAAAAAGAAATGCTATGTGGTGCTCTGCTTATATTAGACATCTGATATATGAGACAAGAATTGCTGCCCAGAGGGTGCCTCTTAGAAAGTGGTTCAACGGTATACCAGTTTCCAGTACGGGGCTTGATGGCTATCGCACCTTGCGACTGAATACAGGTGCTACGGCGCAATACACGATGATAAATGAGCTTGGCGCCACAGAGGCAGTTTGGTGCGGGTGAATAAGTTTGGCACTCTATGGCACAAATGGAAGAGCTGTTCCACCCCAAAATATGGCCCTATATGGCATGCTCTAAACTGCAGATTTGGAACAAGATAGAACAAGGGACCGCTCTTGGAAGTATTCCATTACTGCTTGCCTAAGCATTCATAGACATTGAAGTCAATGCAATTACTACATTGAAAAGGCCTTGCAAGAATTTGTAATACAGCTAGAAAATGAGCTCCTTTGAATCTGTGAGCCAAACATTACAGTGCAGCATACCGCAGTGAATTGATAATTTCGTTTCAATAACTGCTATAATTCTCTCTTTAAAAACAACTAAACCACAGACTGACCTATTTTTACGTACAACCCATAAGCAGATTAAAGTGTTCGCATGCTGCATAGCAATCAATGAAACACTCGCCAGCAAATTGAGCGGTATACTCTGGTTGACAGCTAAGGGTAAGGTTTCACAGCGAAAACAGAGTAGACTAATAATTATAAGTGCCAATACAATACGCAATGCCTTTACAGTAATTCTTTTCATTCCACAACGGCCCCTGGTAAATATTTTGTCAGGTGAAGTGTGATCATCGAATGGACAGCTTTTAATCTTCATAGTATAGTACTTGCCTTTCGGATATGGAAGGAAGAGTCTTGACAAAGATTGACGAATCTTGGAAGAAACAATGCAGCAGTTGTTTCTTTTCCAATGTAAGGTGCCATTTTAGTCATCAGCTGGAACGATAAAATGGAGCACGTTGAACAGCCACATAGCATTAAGAGCATGCCACCACGTTTGCTACATTATAGCAGTAGTTTGTCAAAGAAAGGAGAACACAATACCACCTAAATCTTGTCTTTTGTTTAATGTATATGACAAATTGTATCTAGCTGGTCCTCACACTCCCGATTGATTTGTGGGGTTTAACGTCCCAAAACACCCATATGATTATGAGAGACGATGTAGTGGAGGGCTCTGAAAATTTCGACCACCTGGGGTTCTTCAACGTGCACCCAAATCCGAGTACACGGGTCTATAACATTTCCGCCTCCATCGGAAATGCAGTCACCACAGCCGGGATTTGATTCCGCAACCTGCGGGTCAGCAGCCGAGTACCTCAGCCACTAGACCACCGTGGCGGGCATTCTCAAATTCCTGGTCAAGAACATTTATGAAGGAGCATCACACATGGACGTAATATGCACAGATGTGGCCCCATCTTTCTTGCTTATCCTCAGCACACCAGAAAAATGGAGGTCAGTTAACTTGGCACACAATGCGATTAACACTCCGAGAAGCCTCGGGATGCAAGGACAGCTTGTAGATTTTGACATTAGCTAATTATTGGAAATGCTAGAACAAATTAAACTGTCCTGTTACCATGCCTCCAAAAGGTAGGCATAACTTCCAGAGCCCACCTACTCTCTCTCTTTCTCTCTTGGCTTTAGCTAACATTAGTAGCAGCTAGAAGCTCCCTTGCATTCAGGTTCCAGCAAAGAAGCACATCGAAATTCAGCCGTACCTCCCGTTTTTGTTTTTCTATTTAGCATCTCGTTTTTTCCAGTGAAGGCACTGCAAGCACTTCACTGCATCAAGTCCCCTGCCATGGTCAGTCCCATTCCAAGCCTGAAATGGGTGCACACACACTCTCGACTACAAAGCAGCTACTAAAGTTGGAAAGTAGCCAGAAACGTAGGCATGTATGCGTGACCTTTCACTTTTTAGAGGAGCAGCTCCCATAAAACAGTGGCCCACAGTCTTTACTTTAAAATTTCAACCACTTCTGCACCATTCAGGCATTTCACGTTTTTTACTCGACCAGACCATGTAGTGACAAGGTGCCTGGTGAGGTTCACTCCGATGACAGTTATTTAAACACTTATCAGATTTGGAGAAGATAAAATTATTTGAAGAGCTTGATGAATGATTGGCCCATGTTTTGGTGTACAAATTGACAGCCAACATCGATTCAAAACAGAATTTCTCAGTTTCTCGAGGGTGAAACAGAGATACCACACTTCTTGCAGTCGCAGTAAGGACTCATTACATGTGGCATACACTCTGGCCTCTATAACGATTATAAACCAGATATAGCAATTTATTGGTTACAACAAAGTAGATGAATAACCCTGCCACAGAGACAGTGTGACAGAGCTGTTTATAACAAAATTCTGGATACAAAAAAGTCATTTCCCAGGTAGACGTGACTTATGACGTTTGAGTGTATTAGCCTCAACATGACAGCATGTTAACTTTTTTCTACAAGGAGACACGCTAAACCTTCAAGGCCTCTGTTTTGTAGTGTTGCCTTTTGTTTTACACCTAATTCAACGCATGTCATCCACATCTCTCAGCCAGCCAATTACACCAACTTGGCCTGACCGTAGCTCTGACCACTGGTGCTGATTGAGTGCAAAGGCATTAACATTGCAAAAGGCATCACCAAAAAACGTTGACCCAATTAACACGGTTCAATTAATACCTGTACGCGCTTTTTCTTTTTCAGTCGAAGTGGTCAGATGGACAAAAAAAATTTTATTCCGACAATATTGACTAACGGAGAATTTAAACTTGTCTGGATTTCCGGAATGCAGCCAAGCAGTCATCCACGGCAATATTTCCAATATGATGAATGCCTGACAACATGGCACTTAGGATAATAATATTAAGTACGTGATATCCCATAGATTATAAAGCAATAATAGTACACACAATGAATTGCAAGATTTATTAGATTACAGTCGAACCCATTTATAACAAACTCGAAAGTACCGCAATAAGTGGTCATATCAGTATGTTGTATATGGACTTGCTTATAAAAAGATACACTTAGCAACCAAACCTGTTTTTTGTTTGTTTTTTCCTTATATTCAGCAATGCCCGCTTTCTCACGAGTTAATTAAACCACATTCGCAAAGAACTCGTGTGGTACCGCCATGTGTAACTAATCATCGCTGTCTAGTTGAGTGCAACATTTTACTTGCTCTGCTCTCCAAGTCACATGCTGGGTCGTTTATGTATGCATGGGTTTGTGCATTCTTCATGCATGCTTCACTCCAGATCATGCTAGAGTGCAGAGCCTCTTCATTTAACACGAGACATGCAGCTCGCAAGCAACGTGCAAGCGGCCTTGCATAACACGGCGACAACGAACTTGTTAATGGCAGCATGACACGCTTGCACTGTGCCGTCACTTCGCGCGCTTTGAAGATGTTAAACCTGTACACATATCTGCGCGCGGCTGTGAAAAGGATGCCGGTGATGATTGAAAATTGTGCATTCATCACCCGCCACCTGGCCTTTTCTCTTTTCTGATCTTTATCCGTAAAAGGGGAACTCTGATGCATTTTCGACCAAAGTAAGATATTGACAGCCCTGAAAAAGCTAGATTAGATAATTTTGTCCAGGCACTCAATTTTAATAAAGCAATAAACAAAGAGTAAACGAAGGAGCTGCTCCGTCATCCGTGGGGGGTATCGGACGACCTCAATCCGTCGCCGATGACATCGAGATCCGCTATACCCCGCCACGGCTGGCCAGGGTGTAAACATGGCTCACGTGCCTCTACCGAGGCGCGAAAAGCAGGTTGGCGACTTGCCAGCTCATTTGAACTTACCAGTGCAAAATTGAGCCATGATTGCAGCTATCTGAGCACGAAATCATCGCCTTTTCATTTCAACCCGCCAGCACGTGAAACATCTGACATGCCCCGAATAGATTTCCTCGTAGCTCAATATTCTAAGAACTGACATCGACAATGACTAACACTGTATGCAGCAGACAAAACTGAACTGTGCTCACGCTGTCATTGCCCCGTAGAAGAAAGCTGCATGCTGCATCCGTCTGCTGTAAAAGGCGGGGTATTTTTTTAAAAGAATAGGTCGTGGCATAATATACACAGGGTGGCCAGCCTTTACGAGTGCGGTTCCAGAGTCAGCTACCTAAATTTGTTTTCTAAAAGAACAAAATGACTTATGACTTATGGTTGTATACCTTGGCATATATCACCACTATACCGACGAGAACATATGTTCAAAACTTTATTGAAATCGGCGAATATCGAAAAAAACGTCCGAGTTCCCCTTTAAGGGGAGACGCTACTCGAAAACACTTTTTCTTTAGTTTTCAAGTTAGGGTTTCCAAAATTTAGCCACAGAGATTTTTTCTTGTAGATTCCAAAACTGTTATCAGATTTTGTGTAGCCTCATTACTTTTAAAGTTATTATACATGCAATAGCAAAACAAAGGGATTTTTACTCTCGCTTTTTCGACATCAAAACTTTTGTGTAGATGTTTAGCTTATTATGCTTGTCATGAACTACTGTGTGCATTTAAGAGGTTAAAATTACGAGAAAAAAAAGCTTTCAGGGTTCCTTGTATCATTTCTTGGTATGTTTTTATTGATAATGACTATGCATCATAAATCAGAATAGATAACGGCACTCTACACACCTTGAAGAATGTGTGTGCCAAGTTTCATCGCAATAGGACAATTTTAAGGGGATGAAACTATGTGAGTGAAATGTGACCGTGGCCAAAAATTTCAAAATGAGAAAAACACGTTTGAAAGTTTGGAACATGTTTACTAATTAGGGCGCACTTGCAAACACTCAAAAGTGTGTCTAATGCACAGGCAGTATGTCCAGGAGCTGGCCACGGTGACTAGAATTCACCCGCACTGTATGTAACTCCTTCGCGGTCCTTCCGAGCGGAGTCCTGTAGGCGAGCTCTCTTGGCCGATTTGCGGCGGTGAGCCCTCGCCTCAGCAGTCTGTTGGGCATTCATCTTCTGAATGCGCCTCTTGTCGCTGTAGTCCCCCAGGGTGGTCAAGCTTGCTGGTGGTAGAACACCAAGCTCCTCCAGGACCACCTCGAAGCTTGCATGGCCCCGGTTATACCAGAGCACAGCAATGGCTGTGGCAGTCTCCACAGCACTTCGGGAAGCAAACTTTGTTTTAGGGCACAGCAGCCACACCTTGCTGTTGAGAGACTTAGCAGCGTTCCGAGTTTTCCCTCGAAGGCATCGGGCCAGCAGCTTCTCGTCAGAAAGGCGCTTGTATATGGGCAGCAGTGCCCGGCCCTGTGCCTTTGTCAGAAGTGGTGTATGCTGTGGTGCAGGCTCGCCCATTGCTTCAGCACGCTTGTGCTTGCACCACGATTCTTGGCCTGGTGGGCAGAAGTTGTGGCTGCCAGCACCATCAGTGGAGCAAGAGTGAAAGTAGGACGCCCATATGACAGTGTACATGTCCCGTAGGTTGCCTCTATTGCCCGTGATGGCGATCTGATAATATGTCTGCAGCTTTTCAATGGTGGCAGGCTTGAGCTTCTCACCTCTGGGCAGTGGTGTCGGCAATTTGCGTATGCCAGTGCCTAGGCGCTTCGCAACATGATTAGTGCAGTCCTCCTTGCAGATGGCACCTGCACCGTACACCTTGGCATCACAAACTCTGTTATATGCTTTGCTGTCGCCATCACTAAGAAATGTTGCGAAGCGAAGTGGAGTCTCATACAGCAAAGTGCGCTCCCATATCCGTAGTGCTGCTTCAGCTTCCATGCCACGAGCGGAGCTGTCGGTGTTCTTCTCACAGAGAGGTCTGTGGTAGGCCTGCCAGATTTCCTCTTCAGAGCCCATGTCGTTGTGTAGACTGCAAGCGTGGCAGTAATTCGACAGCACTTCGAAATCTAAGCACAGGCCGGTGTCCAAGGAGATAGCCGCGCCGACTCCGTTGTGGTTTTTATGGCCCCGTTTCTGCCAAGTTCCATCATACATTACGGCCACGTCACTACTACCAACCACCTGCTTTGTTACGGCTCTTGCCTGGTTCAAATTTTCGGTCACGGCCCTCATAGCAGCATCGTGAACCTTCTTGCTGATTGCCTGGAAGGTTTTGTGGTGCATGGGCTTCGCTAGTCCAACAATCGCACAAAACCGCGAAAGCTGGTCATGTCCGATGCCTATGGCACGCGATGCTACAACAGCTTTCACATTAGCCGCGAAGCTATCGCGCGAGCTGCCGTTGCCGTAGTGCCCCACCTCCGCGCAGTCGTCAGATGCTGCGGCGGCAGCGCCGGAGGCAACACGCCTCGACGTATGTGTCGAAGAGAGAACACCAGACGCGCACTCACTGTTCTCACACCGCAACTCGAGACAGGATGACAGTCCTTTGCGCCGTTCTGCCACCTCGCGAACAACAAGTTTGTGTTCACGGCAAGACGGGCACTCCGCTCCGCCCACAAGTGCCGTCATCGCATCGATGTCGCACAGCACTGTTGATGATACGCCATCATGCGCACGCCTTTGGTTCTTCTCAAAAAACTCCAGTTTTTTTTTGTGAGGCGCTGACGAAGTTTGCGGCAGCGTCGAGGCCGCCGGCGAAGTCACTGTCGCGATAGTTGCCGACGCTGGGGTTAGGCCTAGACCTCTCCGGCCCGTTCACCTTTGCCGCAGTCTGACGACGCACTTTACGACGTTTTCCCACATACTTGTTTATCGTCCGGTACTTTTTCACCTTGTACACCTGCTTTTTGGCAGGATTCATCGCGTAACTAATTGAATAAATCCTTGCGAAGTTCAGCTTGCGATGCAGAGCGGGGCCGAAGGGACAAGCGGGCACTGCTCTAGCTAATGGCGCGCTCGCTACGGCACCACGTGACGCGCCGCGCGATTCAAACAGCACGCAGGGGCGTTCAAAAAAGGATTTTTTATAGTATTTTTTTCTTTCCGGATGAGACTTTTCGAGCCTGTGTTCGAGAGAGCATGGACAACTCTAACCGCCTCAGTGATTACAAATGGCGCACGGTGCCGCTGCCTCGAGATACCGGGGCCGGCAAAACGTCGATTTCGGCAGATTTCAGCGATTTTCTAGGTCTCCGGGGCTTACTTGAGCGCATTTTTCAGTAACTTCTGACACGAATTATCGATTGATATTTATTTCTGGTAAACATGAATGTTTAAAGAATCTAATACGACTGAAAACAAAAAAGTGAAAATTTCCGGAAAAAACGCGATTTTTCGACCCGCGTCTCCCCTTAAGGCACCGCCGCAATTGCGTGGAAGTCGTTAGCATTGATTGCCTGGCCACCATTAATCACCTTGTTGCACACTGCAGTGGCGGAGAGTTGAGCGTCGCAGTAGAAAAAAGGTTATTGCTTCTCGCATTTATGAAGTCTTGCATTCAAAGGCATTATTTGATTATTCATTGGTGGTCGTACATGCCGAGAAAGGCATCGAAAAAGCTTGCCATGCGAAAGCTGAAGTCTTCATGATGCCTCCTCACTTTTTTCGCTTACTACCATTCTGCCGGCAAAAAAGAAAGCCTGGAAAGCAAGCGACCTCACTCTCAGCGCCTGGAATGTGCGTGAAATGCTCACCACAGTCTACGATATCTTCATCGCGAGTAGACTGTAGCAGGGCAAGTGCAAGCACACGCCATCACATGCTTCAGAATGCCTTTATTACCTTTTTTTTTTTCTTCGTATGCACCATATTTTTACAGTGACCTCATCGAAAGTGGGTGTTGTCTAAACAGGAGGCTTTGAAAAATATGCTCTATATGTAGATGGAGTTTCAGGGATAGCATAGGAAAATCGTAAATGCACCAAGACATGGTTGTTTAAGTGGGTTCGACTGTATAACCTGTGCTTTCTTTTCAGCCTCTAGCTTAATTCGATGTGGCAGGAAACTTGGGATTAAACTAATAGATATCTACACAATCTATGCAGAAATCGCACAAATCTACACACTAATTTGACTCTGAAAAGAGTTCTTGAAGTGCAGCATCTTGACGACCACTAGTAGAAACAAGCATGCCAACTGCTCATCAAAGCTGGCTGTGATATGAAACAGCAACAACACATCACAACCCCTTTGACGAACAAGTGCAGCAAGCATTAGTCCAACTCCCATGCAGACCATGTTGCCTTAGGTGGGTTTCCTGTAGAATTGTACCAGGCAGGGGTCATCAAAGGTGGCTGTGATATGATTCAAACAAATGACAAACCACAGCCAGTTTGATGCCCTCGCCATAGCAGCATTGAAGGATGTGGACGAGATCTGGGATTCTGCAAATGCAACACAAATCTCAAGAACAACAAGCAGAATGGAATTATTGGTACTCACATTGTTACGGATTTCGTAAAATAAGCTTTGAAGGGGCACTAAAAGGCAAATACCATATGCTTGAGAATACCTAAAAAGACAATAATATAGATAACAATAGAGTAATTAGGGTAAATAAAAGACTATTTGCACCACCAGTGGGGTATTATTAAACAAAAGCTTGAAGACTCAGTAGGGCCTAATTACAACCAATCCCAAGAACTACCCAACAGTGTTATGTCACGAGCCGGACAGCCGGTGAGCCCGCCTCCAGAAACTGTCGCGTGCATAAGCGGAACCAAACAGAAAGGATTAAACTGCCCCTGTTCAGTCCAGGCAAGGCTTCGCGGAACTGCTTTTAAGTTTTATCAGACAATAGGAAAAATTAAAACAAGGAGGGGGGGGGGGGGCACTACAATCCTGAACACAAGAGAGTACATTACACAACATTTTGATAGCTGCGTATATCCAGTAACAGCAAACTTGTGATTTTAAGTATGTTTCACCACATATCAATATTGCGTCGACGCAGAGCTGACTTGCATTTACTTTTCGCCGCGAGATGGTTGTGAAGCTTTTGTTGCACCTTTGTGCAACATATGCATGCAAGGATACTTTGTTGTTTTTTTTCTCGCTTGCATATTTGAAAGGCAAACACCTTAAAAGGCATGTCGAATGAGGCTGCCGACTGAACAATTTATTGACAAGCTGTGGAGATCCGACTTGATGTGGTACTCGAATTTGACCATTCTTTGCCAGGTAGAAATAAAGGCACTTATTTCACGCCACACATGTAAATTCTTGACTACCCTACTTTTCTACCCTACCAGACCACAAGTGTCCCTAAAATGTAAATGGCTGAGAACCACTGATTTCACGCAACTACTGGAGCAACTCAGTTAATGAAGCTCCTGCTATCGTGCACCTTTAAAAGCAGTGACCTCCTTTCTAGTACATATAAAGTGCAATGAAGCAGTGGTAATCCTTGAAGTGTGGCACCTAAAGCTTGAGTGTGGCACCTAAAACTCAACATTTTGCATGGCATAAGGATGCCAGGTTATGGCCAGAAAAATTGAAGTCTCATTAAACACTAAGGTCCAAGCAGTGTCCTCACATAATAGTAGCAGAGCTGTGGAATATACCAAGAAATTTCTGCGTATTGCAGACACCTAAAAACCATGCGATAATTATTCCAAATGACACATTTCATAAGATTTTTGGTCACAATTTTGTGAAATCACAATCCCCAGTTTCAACTATATAACATATCTACTATCCCATGTCTTCCCCTGCAGTAGAGCTGTGCATTATCATCCACTACAGAATCCCTCAACAGGCTATACAATTATATTACACTTGCAATAGAGTGCATACATGAGGTCAGGAGGCTGCACTCTAAAGCATGTGCAACACCTTAAACAACTGAATGGAGAGCTTGTTGCACTAGCTTGAGCTGCCGAACAGAAATTTTTCTTTAGCCAAAAACAATGAGGCTTGGTACAAAATAATTTTCCCTCCCATAACATACCGCAACACAGTAAAATCTTTGCTATACAAACCCAAATCGTACCAATTTATAGAATTCCGTAGCCAAATTCTAATGTGTACAATGGGCTGCAATTTGGGTGTTCTGAACTATTTCACACATTGTGAAGTGCCATGCGAACTTGGGTGTTCAAACCACCGAGCGATTCCTAACAGCAGTCAGCTCTGGAAGGTTGTGCTTCACCAGAGCACACAAGAGTCAAAAATCTTATTGTTTGCCACAAACCGCTGATGACAAATTTGTGGTCTATATCGATATGATTACGTATGACAGCATCAAAAGGCTGAAAGCCAATGCTCACAGAGTTAGAGCAAGGTTGCTTGCCACAACCACAGTAGAAAAAGCCACAGTGAACACAATCATAGATAACGCAGATCTGAGGGCATTGCCTGTGAACACAGATTGACAACAGAAGTACCTTTTCCACCAACTGCTGCGTGTGATACCTCAGGGACTATTGTCACAACCATCAATAACAACTATGCAGCCCCAGGTGTATGCGGCTGACATATAAGGCAATCAAGTAGGAAAAACAAACCAGGTGTGTAGAGTTTTATTGCTCCAGTCATTTGCTTACGACTGTGACAGAGTAGACTTCCGTACTGGCTAAGCTGTAGCTTTGACATGCATTCGCGGCACGCAATGAGCCAGCTGCAAAATCCATTGGTGGTCAGTTGGCACATGTTCCAAAAAGAAATGAGGGTTTTTATCAAAATGAATGTTTTATGCATGTATCCTGGTTTGCAATCTGCTTTAATAGTTTTGGGCAACACAAAATTAAATATCAGGTCGCATGAATCATCAAACAAATTACTGTGCCAAGAAACATCTAATCCAAACGCCATGCTTGTTTCATATAAGCTATCAGCCAACACCAATAATCTGTAGCATGACCACTCTCTGGAAAAGAGTATGGGCCTCTGCATGAAGAGAGGGTGCTTCATAAAGCAGTAAAATCACACTATGCCTGTGAACTCTCCTTGCTGTGCATAACTAAGGTCCGGCTAAGCTGTTCATAGCAACTTGCAGCTTTCGATTGTTTTTTACCAAGCACCAGTGGCAGCTCAAGCACCATTTTAATAGAGCAACTAGCTATCATTTTACCACAATCAAAAAATGGCTGCTGTGGCTAGGTTCGAACCAACTGTAGCAATACGTGCATAGAATTATCCTTACTCTACCTGTTGGGAGATATACCGTATTTACTCTATTCTACCGCGCCCTCGATTGTAACGGGCACTCGGTTTTCACGACGAAAAAAAAAGTAAGACATCGATCGTAACGCGCACCCATTTTTCTCGGCCCGC